TGATTGGAACTCGTGATAAATGAACAATACAAAATGATATTTGGGTTCAGGAGAATTTGTGGTGATGATATCTTGAGAAGAAGAGAGTAGATTAACTATTGTTGAAATGAAATTGTAAGGTGAAATTCTTGAATCAGAAAGGAGGAGAAATAATTGAGTGATAAACATGGGAGGGGAGAATTAAGAGATAGTGGTTGATTTGGAGTGAAAGAGTTATTTAAGCAGATAATTAATCAATAATAGTTTTAAGGGATGTGGGTATCTAATAGTATTTTCAAATAATATATTAATATATGGTATAAAATACTAAAAATGGTAATATATGTAATTGTTTAAAAGTAAAGATAATATTAGTATATATAGTAGTGATGTATGTCTAATAAGGTAGTTTATCCAAAAATCAACATGTTGAAATGATATCAACTTATTATGATTATGTGATTTAATGATATATAAATACATATTAATTAAACTTTGATAAGAGTAGAAGTTTATAAACAAACGCATATCGTGCAATTATTAGTTTGATATACACATTCCTTTAGTGCAAGGGTTCTCTTATTGCAAACCTAATTTTTTTTAAAAGTGAAAATGATATTTTGAGATTATGGTCGCACTCGGAGCTATCGTGAGAAGTAATGGTTTGGTAGAACACAACAATCTTAATCTAAATCCTATATTTTTTTTTGAGAGATTCACTGAATATATATACATATAATAAATTTCAGAATTATTAATTTACAAATTCAAAACTCATAAACTTTAAATATATATTGAATCGCTATGTTCGAGACCTATTAGTACTTCAATCCTCAAATCCTATAAAAACCACAACAAATGTATCATCGTCAATGCCATTCCTTGAGGTTTATTATATCACACAGCATTATAGTAACCCTACTAAATCAAACAAGAATAAAATCCCAAAGTTGGGTCAAAGAAAAAAACCAAACAACAATAAAACTTAAAACATTGTGTTATTGACTTCCAAATTTTAAATTCCCTTCCCTCTACTTCAAACCTCTAGTAGATTTTTTCCCCGCACTTTCGATGAATTTAACATTTTGTTGACCATTCTTATTTATAACCTGCTTTCTGGAAGTATCGATCTTATCATAACCAGTGATGTGAGTCTGTCCAGACCTTAAACTCTGTGTCCAGTCAAATTTTGGTGGACGAGTACTAACCATTTTCTGCATGTTATTCAACGCCTTATTAGAAATCGGACGACGTGCTTCTTTCTTGGTTTCTTTTATTTCAATCTTTGTCCCTCCTTCCATCTTTATATTTATGTTCACTTCAGAGAGTGCTTTAGTGTTTGTACCTCGCGTATTATCTCTTGTACCATGATCGTCAATTGATTTCTTTGTGTTCCTTTCCTCTTGGTGTTTGTAAAGCCTATGTAATCTTAGTGCTAATTGGCAAATTCCTTCTTTAATTTCATCCTCTAAATCCCTTTCAACATCCCTTTCGAGCTCTCCTCTAATCTTCATCTCAATTGAATTCATCTTTTCAACTAAATGCTACAAAGAAAAAAGTTTGTATTAATTATAACTTATTAGTTACGTAGCTTATTATCATAATCACAAAATAAATCCATCACCAATTAATAAGCCAAAAATAATATGCAATAAAAAAAGTGAAACCAAAAGTGTAACATAATTCGAGGGACAAATAAGCGGACAATTCTTGAAACTATCGATGCTATTATATAACTATTTAAAAAAGGTACAAGTTAAAGTAAACATCAATTTGATGCAAGAAATTAAGCATTAAAACCATCATAGTTCAAGTTCAAGAACTGCGCAAGTCAAATTATGATAACAGATATCACAGTAACTATCAATTTGAGACAAAAGGTAAGTGTTGAAACCCTCAAGTTCAAGTACTTTCCAATGAAATATATTTACAAGTGAGATTATGATAATAGATCGATATTGCTATATATCAAAGTAAATATCAATTTGTGACAAAAAAGTAAGTGTTGAAATCCTCATCGTTTAAGTTTCAGATCTACTTACAAGTCGAATTGTGATAATAAAATATTGTCATATATTAAAGTAAATATATTTAAACTCAACAAGCTCATCAAGATCCAAACCAACTTATAAGAAAAAATTGTGACAATAGACCGATACTGATATGCTAATTAAGCCCATGTGAAGAAATTGAGAAGTTAGATATATACATGAACCAAATGCACTTACATAGACAACTTTTGGAGTACTGTACACATTAATGGTTCATACAAAATCTTATGATAAAGTTTGTTGGTTTTCTAGTACATTTTTATATGACTAAAAATTGATGTAGACTTTTAGAGTTTTGATTGGCCACCAGCCTTTTAAACATGAAATGACAGTTAAAGGTAGTTATTTCAGTTGGATGATTCAAAATTAAGTGCCAAATATCTCATGATATAATTGGAATTTTGGAGGGATTTTTAAAAATAAATCTATGGATTTTATTAGAAAGCTTGTGTATCTTTTTCTCTAACTACTTGACTTGAAAGACATTTGTTTTGGTGTCAACTTAAAGTAAAATCATGTTTTTTTTTCTTTTGTAGTAAACTATTTTGTCACATGGTGTTGTGAATATATGTACACTTCACTATTGAAAGAAGCTTTTGGAATTCACTAATTTGAGTCTCAAGCTTAGTTTGTAATTGGTGATGTATCACTTTCTAAAATATTATTCTTACTAGAGTTATTTAAGTAATATTCACAAGAATTAATTAGTGAAATTCATGCTTTGGGACTTAAGTAGAGGAAAATATATTAATTATATATACAATTAAATTTTTCTATAGCAAAATCGTTTAGCTAGATATTGTTTAGCTGCATGTTATAATATGATATAACTTAACAAAAAAAATTATTTTAAAAAGAACTTGATCATTATACTGAAATATTGTTATAGAAGATGACTATTATAGAAATCTTTGTACTCCACAATTGAAGTGAAAGGTTTAAACTTCAGATTTAATTAAAAGACTCCACTATTAAAATAAAAATATTCAGATACACAAATATAATAAATTATGTATTAAAAATACCATTATTTTCTTAGCTTCTCTATCAAATGTTAGGATAATGACTTCATGGATTATGTCATCGTACCCTGCACCTTTAATTTTGTCAACTTTACGTAAACATTTCACATGTTTATATAAAAAAATATTGATTATTAAGGCTGTTTGATTATAGGGGATTAGGACGTTTATCTCAATATAAATATAAAATTTGAAATTAAATAATTTATCCAATATTAATTATGGATATTAGCTAAAATCAGAATAAACTTTATATCAAAATCATGGAATTATACATCTACTCGTAAAGAAGATAGAATTATCTATATTGGTTATAAACCCTAATTATAACGATAAGAATATAATCTTGAGATAATCTATTTTTGAACCAAACGACTCCTTGAAGAAAAAAATAACATTGAGAAAACTATATATTTCTTTCACTTACGGTGCTAATTTACTATTTGATATCCTTATTGAACGATATCTCTAATGTCACATTACTTGATTAAATTTTTATAACTCTAAAAGTAATTATTTCTCTGGATTTTTTTTGAAATTTTGATTAAAAAAAAAACTTATTAGTACCTTTTTCATCTCATATTAATAAATATGAAGGGAATCGGCTCATGAACACCACCAATTCCCCGATTTAATTGCTTCGACAATATTTGAACATAAGATATGAAGAATTGAAGATAATAAATAACATCTTTATAGTCCAAATGATAAACTAAGAGCATTCGTCCTTTTAAGTTATTTGATCAATTTATATACACCCAAGAAGATGCAAATTGTTATATACATGCAATGCACCATATATATGTATACAATTACTATTTTTTTTTTGTTGTATTATTGGTTCTTTTCAAGTTAAAACTATGAATTTGACAACATAGATATATCAATTAATTAATTCTAGTGATGTTATGAATGTGGGAAATCGTTGTCTAATCTAAAATATTATTACAATTTATAGGTAAGTAGTCATTCTCTGTAAAGTTCAAGGATGTTATAGATATGGAATTAATTAACACAAAAAGTCAAACTTTTTATGTTCATTTAAAAACTAATTCGAAAATTAATAGATTAAATTTTAAGTTTAGCAAACATAAAAATCATATTAGCGCTCTATAGTTATAGTTTTGCTATTTGCGCTCCATAGCAAACTATGTTTTCTATGGAGCATTAGATTTGTACAAATCGCAGGCAGGCATCTCGTTTGTATAAAAGTGCAGCGATTGTATATTTATATTGGTTAGATAATTGTATATAAGTAACTACTACGAATATGTATCAATGATTGTGTTTCTATATCTGCATAAAATTTGAATTTGTATACAATTGAATTGAAATATAACATTTGCATATCAAATCTCTCTCCCTCTCGCTTTATACAACACAAATTATACATTGTAATTTGTATAATTTGTGTTTATATAAAGCTAGAAAGAGAGAAAGACAAAAGAGAACTGGTAGGGAAAGATTTGTATTTGTATAATTATAAGTGTATAGGACGAAAATATATGTATTTGTATATACAATTTTCTCTCGCTTTATATAAATACAAATGCAATTTATACATTGGTGTTTGTATAAAGTGAGAGAGGCAAGGGAGAGTGGCGAGCGAGATTTCTGGGGAGAGAGGCGAATGACAAAGTGTTTACTACATATTAGAATTAAATGAAACTGTAGTTATAACATTTAATTTGAATTAATAGTTTTCTACTTTATATAATTTTCCCAAATATATAACTAATATATATTCAATGTCAAAGATTTTTTTATAATATTTTAATAAGTTTTAGCAGGTCATTTAATTTAGAGCAACTTTCACATATAGCAAATACAGAATTCATATTTGTATGCTATAGCAAAGTTTGCATAATTGCACTTCATAGCAAACATATATATGTATAATTCGCTATACATATACAAAAGAAAGCAGTTGTATACAAAAGATCAATTCTATAATCTGTGTATGTATAAAACGAGAAAGAGAGAAAGGCAAAAGAAAACTGGGTAGAGAAATATTTGTATTGTATAATTATAAGTGTATAGGACGAAGCTATATGTATTTGCATGTGTATATACAATTTTCTCTCGCTTTATACAAGCAAAAGCACAATTTATACATTTCGTTTCTGTTTGTATAAGTGAGAGAGGCGAGGGTGGCGAGCGAGATTTGGGAGAGTAGCGAGTGAGATTTGGGAGAGTAGCGAGCGAGATCTGGGAGAGGGGAGAGAGGAGAACGAAAATATATGTATATATACAATTTCCTCTCGCTTTATACAAACACAAACACATTTTTATGTGTTTGTGTTTGTATAAAAGCGAGAGAGGCGAGCGAGACTGTCACCAAACGAGATTAGCAAGCGAGATTCCACCAGGAAGAGTGGTGAAAATAGCAATAGTTTGCTATAGGGTACAATTAAATCAAAATATATTTATAGCATTTAATTTAAATTAATAGTTTGCTATTATATATATTTTTCCCTTTAATTTACTTTACTCTTGATGTAAGTTATAAACTTATCATGAACAGTTATCAGTAGTTATCTCTTTTTATAACTTAATTAATATTGTGATATTTTTATATTATCAATGTATGAAAATAAAAATTTATTAAAATTAGGATCAGAACAAGGGAAATTCAGCATTAGAAATGAGATAAAAGAATAAACCTAACAAAAGAATAGATTCGAATCTTTGGTTTTTGAATATTCCATTTGTAAGAGAACTAATTGAGTCAGCCACGACACATTATTATTCGACATGACATAGTGCAATTAATAATTATGCAAAAACTATTCACTTGAAATGTCAACACTTCTTTTTTTGGTTGAACGGTCAAAAACTTAGAAAATATCTCCTTTTTTTTTTATTTTCATATCTAAATTATTAAGTATATGAGTATTTTGCTTGAACTCTAATCAAATATTTATTAAAACACACTTTAACTATTAAATGTTCACTTTTCAAATGTTTATTGAAAACACACGCACATTCATCGCTAATTTTTTTTTCTTCTAATAGGGTGATTGTGGAATTTGTTGTACTCCCTTTGTCCCAATTACTTGTCTACTTTTAAATTGACACATCTATCAAGAGAATAATTATTGACATACCTAGTTTATTATTTTATCCATATTAATTATGAAGTGGATTAATTAAAAACTTAAGATTTTCAAAAAGTTTTACTATTTTTTTTCAAAGTAATTAACTGAGGGTATAATAGGTAAAAAAATATTGTCTTTTTTTGATTTGTTAAAATAAATAAGTAATTAAAAATAACTAAAAAAAATAGATAAGTGATTAAGAACATAGGGAGTACTGATTTGTCCTCTCTTGTTCCTTACCGAAGGAAATTTAAAGTAAGAAAAGGAAGTAGAATCTGTAAAATTCTTGATATTACTTTTATGTCGTAATAGATAAGATTTATAATCAAAAGTTTGCTTCTATGACATGAAAAGACATTTTTCCCCAAATGATATAAGTAATAAGAATATTTATATAAACAAAAAATAAATAAGAATATTCAGGGGTGGCGGAGCCATAGTTAAAATTAGGGGGTATGGCACTGGGGGTGGTCAGGCTAAGGTAGTAAGCTATTGTCTCACCAATTAGCTAACCAGCTTCTCCTTGATTTATGTATTAATGGGTGGTCGAGTGAAGATTGTAAGCTATTGACTCACTAATTAGCTAATCAGATGTGAGCTTGGTCTATATATATACAAATTTAATTGAAGTTGATAATTATTGTTCAAGAATAAATATACATTTTTAATAATTGTGATGTTCAAGCCAACTTACGTGCACTTAAACTAATTCAATATCTCATAATCCTCATCTCACTTTATAGATAATAGACCACACTTGTAAATGTCTCAAATAATATATTTGTAGCAAGAAGCTCTTTAAATATGTATATTAAATTTAAAACTTTTTTATTAGCACTTAAAATGGGCCGTCTAAAACTTACTAACACATGAAATTGAAATCTTAGCTCTATCTTTGTTCGACATAATCTAATTATTTTACTGATATTATATATTTTTGTTAAATTTTTTATATAATATGTAAATAATTTATCTAAGGCCCAGTTGACAAAAATATTATTGTTATCCAGAATTCAAAAAATAAAAATTCTAAATTTACTTTTGAGAATATTTAGAAACAGGAAAAATTATAATTTTAGAATAGGCAATTCTT